ACACCTGTAATCCTAGCTACTCAGGAGTCAGAGATCAGGAGGATCGAAGTTTGAAGCCACTCCAGGCAAACAGTATGAGACCCCATCTCAAAACTACCCATCACAAAAATAGGGCTAGTGGAGTGGCTCAAGGTGTCAGCCCTTAGTTCAAACTCTAGTACCACACACAGAAAAGAATAGAAGTGAGATGTGGCCCAAAGGAAAGTACAATGGTAAATTTCTAAACACTTAAAATTTCAAAACCAAAGCTCAACTGTTTCTAACTGGTGAAAGCACAATAAATAAAAGCTGAAAATTATATATTACTTTGCTGGTAATCAGTTGAAAAGGTCTTGGTCATATCAGAAAACCTCAATTGCATAGTTTCTTTCTCCATGTAATCTAATGTAATAATTATCAATACAACACGCAAAAGACTGATAAACAAAACACTAGCAAACGGCTTGTCAAGATTGACTTAAATGAGCTGTTGTTCTGGAACTCACTGCATTACCATAATAAGAAATCATCTAGCATATCAACGTTTCCCATTATTCTTTTCAACTACAAATCAAAAATGCTGGGAAAAAAACTCAATGTCCTACCTTAACCTAAGTCAGCAAACATTAACCATTTAATGTCAACTCATCTAATGGAGAAATAGCTAAAGGAGAGAGAGAGAGAATCTAAATTTGTATGGTCTTGAAATAAAACTCAGAAGGATCTTGATCACAGACTTTTTGCAAACTTGCCAAAGAGCCTCCTAGCAATGCTTCATTTGTTAGGTAAGAAATACCTCCATGTTCATTTAAGGCACAAGCACTGCAATGATGATCCAGCTCTGGAGGCTTGAGTGAAGTCCATCTAAGATGAACAAATGGAAAATCTCTTACAGAAATTCTATGGGCTGATTTATTTTAGAATAAAAAAAGAGAGAAAGATGAAAGTGATCCTTATATGATCCAGAAATACACAGGCTTATCTGCATATTCTGCAATGCTAACTTTATAACATCAAGTTCTGAATATGGACTTGGGCTTAATTTATCTTTTCAACGGTTCAACAAACATTTACTACCTCTCTACCACGTACCAGATATCAGGGTAGGACTCAGAAAACAAAGATGATAATACACATGGTTAACAAATTATGGTATTTATAGATTGGAGATGAAAAAGCCATTAAGTTACAGGAAGCCTTGAATCCATTGTTGAAGGAGATGTGGGTATGCATAAATAAATAAGCAAACAAATATACACACTCTTGAATATGTAAAAAGCTTAATCCAAATGTCTAACAGCCATCCATCTTTCAGGGACTAAAGCTGTTCAGGAAAAGGTGAAGTCTTTGCTGCATGATTATAAATTTTACTTATATAAAGTATACATATTTAGTGTTTGGTGAGAAAAGGTAAACATAAAGATGATAATAAATTACTAAGAAAGAAACATCCAAAGAAGTTTATGAAATCCAGTATCCATTTATTAGAAATTAAGTCAGCATGGTTTTCTAGAAAACTATGGTCTCAAACAGAGGGTCTTATTTCTGCTATAGTTTCTAAGCATGAATATAAAGGTCTGTTTTATAAATTGGTGGCCAAAAAAAGACCGCTGATTCAATCCCACTAGGATAAGACAGGTCATCGGCACACTGTACAGCAGAGATACAACATATAGACTAACTGTGTAAAGGGGCCTAACTAACACGGACTACATAGGAGAGATGTCGAAGAAGTAGTGGCCATACCGGAGAGTTCATATACTTAAAATGCTGCATCGCTGTGGGAAATAGAGACCAGCCATGCATAGAGTTACTGTGTGTTGGCAAATGCCAACCTTGTTTTAAACCTATGCTATGCTTTAAGAAAACAGTAACGGCTTCTCACGGTAATATATATCTTTTTAAACTTATTACTCAACACAGCTCAAATCTTCTGCTATTCTAAGGTAATCAAAATAAACGTTAACTTTTCACAAGATTTTTCATTCACTTCATTGTATATCAAACATCTACACCAAACTCTAGAAAGCCAGTACAATAAGGAAGCACAAAAGCTAAAATAGTACTAAGGTGTGTCAACTGATCACAAAATAAAAGCACTCAGAGCACAGCCCTGCAGTGGCTGTCTATACTGGTGCTACATTGGTAAGAAAGAGAGCAGATCCATCTTGGGCCAACCAAGACAGGAAGAATTAAGTGATGGGAGAACAGTTTCATAAATAAAAACCCCCCAAACCATTCACTGGCAATGTTGAGGAAACTTTGGACACAAAGGACAACTGACAAAAATAGCCAAAATTGTTTTCATATAGAATTATTTTCTACAGAATCCTTAGAGGGCTGGAATAAGAACAGGAATGAAGTGTCAAAAAGAGACATTTTATTAAATACAGTAAAATCTTCATGACTCAAAACTCAACTGATTAGTGCAGTCATGAAAGTAAAATTTTTTTGTAAAGTTTTTAATGCAAAAGTCTCAAAAAAAGTTCCTATCAAAGATTTTCTTCGAGCTACATTCCAGTGGCTCACACCTATAATCTTAGCTACTCAGGAGGCAGAGATCAGGAGGTTTGCAGTCTGAAGCCAGTCAAGGCAAACAGTTCCCAAGACCTTACCTCTAAAAAAACCCATCACAAAAAAGGGCTGGTGGAGTGGTTCAAGGTGTAGGCCTTGAGTTCAAACTTTAGAACCGCCCCCACAAAAAAAGACTTTCTTTAGGGCAGGGGATGTAGCTCAACGGTAAAGTGCTGGCCTAGTGTGTGCAAGGCCCCGAGTTCAATCCCCAGTACTGCAAAATAAAAAGACTATAACTTTCAAAGACATTTGTACCTCACCTAATTCAGGCACTGTCTGCAGTATCATATTGCCAATCACTAAATCTCAGTTTCCTCATTTGTAAAATATTCTTAAAGACCCTTTCTAGCTTATGTTCAGTATAAAGATTCTTTCATAAAAAACAAACAACAACAAAAAAACAGGCACAGTGGCTCATATCTGGGATCCCAGCTACTCAGGGATCACTGTTCGCGGGCAGCCTGAGCCAAAAATTAGCAAGACTCCATCTCAACCAACAAGGCAGGCATGGTAGCACATGTGATCCCAGCTACCAGGTACTATCAGTAGGAGAATTTTGGTCTGAGGCAGGCCGCAGACAAAAAACATGAGACCCTACCTGAACAATTACTAAAATTAAAAAAGGGTTGGGGGAGCATGGCTGAAGGAGTGCCTGCTTTAGCAAGTTGGAGGCCCTGAGTTCAAACCCCAGTACTAACCCCTCCCACCATGACCCAATTAAAGGTCATTATCAAATCAGTGAGAAAGTACACAAGTGTAATTTTTGGGAATGTGGAAAAACATTGTCATTTAGAACCGCGTATCCCAAGATCACTCAACCTCTAATACGCAAGGGCTGCTATAGTATCATGTAAAATCCCCAAACCCTAGTCCTAATTGGACCAGGAATAAAATTCAACCATATTATGCAGATATCTGCATGTTCCTGAACAACAAGCTGTGTAATATAAACTGTGTAGTAAACCGAGCTCTGAATTTGGAATAAAGATTATTTTCTTTCCTATGCTGGAAGCTTCTTTGTTTATTGGCATTCCACAAGGCATGTGGCCCTTCTAAGTATTGTATGGGTATTGTATATGTGGTGGTGGGTGGGTGGGTGGGTGTGTGTGTGTGTGTGGTGTGTGTGTGTGTGTGTGTGTGTGTGTGTGTGTGTGTGTGTGTGTGTGTCTCTCTCTTGAACTCAGGGACTTCACCTTGAGCCACACCACCAGCCCTTTTTTGTGAACGGTTTTTCGAGATAGGGTCTCAAACTGTTTGCCCATGATGGTTTTGAACCGCAATCCTTCGGATCTCTGCCTCCTGAGTAGCTACCATTACAGCTAGGCGTGAGCCACGGGCACCGGATACATCTATTCTTATCTATTTAGAGACTGGACAGATGACACTGAAAGTCCCTTCCAACCACAGTAACCTCTCAAGAAGAAAAAAATGGGTGCTTAAATTATATTTAGTTAACCATTGGAAGAACTGCCCAGCCTCATGTTCAATGTCCTATGGAAGCATACATAACCACGTAGACTATCATGTCAGAAATTCATTCTATGAATATTCATTACTTCTTTGGATTTGATGATTTCCCATTAGTAACCACATAGAAAGGAGTTATTTCATATAACTTCAAAATACATTACTTTTCCTTATACTGCTCTTAGGACATATTCTAAGGCAAAAAATGAAGTGTCGAAAAATAGTAGTAGTAACTGGTTTCAATAATCCTATTATCTATAGTGGTACAAGTATTGTTACTTTTGAGCAGCTATGTACTTCTTACAGGATGAAAGAAAATGAGTAACTTTGGTGGCATGCCACACAATCAACTCAATATAGTTAGGCTCACTTAGGTTTACTTTTGATTGTTGCTTTTAAAACTCAATTTTGTTTACAAACATGAAATATTTAAATGGTCCCAAAGGAAACATAAAACACAACTTTATCCGAAAAAAGCCCAACTTCTCTATCTTCCCCCATCCCATGCACTTTCAAATACACTTTAAACATAGTGAAAATGTTTAAAAGCATGGCTTGTGTAGCCAGACACAAGTGGCCCACATGTACAATCCTAGCTACTTGGGAAGGTGAGATTGGGAGGATCGCAGTTTGAGGACAGCCCAGGCAAATAATTCTTAAGACCCCCATCTCCAAAATAAAATAGAGGAAATAGAGGCATGGCTCAAGAAGAAGACTGCCTGCTTTACAAGCTCAAAGCCCCGAGTTCAGACCCTAGTCCTGCCACCCTACCCCCCCCAAAAAAATACAGGTTAGGAAATAAACCTGGAGGTTATCATGTCACTAGTCTGCCATCACAGAGCCCAATAGCCAAGACCAAAACTCATCTTTCTCCCTCAGCAACACAGCACAGTACTCACTCCTGAGAATGTAGACCCATCATGCTCCATGCTCATCACATATTTCCTACAGCTAGCCCCAGGTGACTGCAAAAGACTTACTGTGTTAAGTGCATTAAGAGTGGTGTCATCCCGAGATGCTGCAACACAGCCATCCTCTGTGGAGCCTCCATCACACATCCCTGCAAAGGCCGCCATGCTCCTTCAAAAGAAAGGACATTGTTTCCTTTATCAGCATATAACAGTGTCAGTACAGCGATTTTAAACCTCAGTTTTCAGAATATATCTCAGTCCAAACCACACTCAAGGTAAGCCAGAGTTCTCAATCCTGCCTCTACTACTCCCTCTTTCAGTCACCCCATTGGGTTACTCTTCCCCAGCTTTATTAGTACTGAGATTTCAGAGGTAAGCACATGAATAATCTAAACTTTTTTGCCACAGTACTTCACTAATTATGATCTTGAGAGAAAAGTCTCCATATGCACAATTATATGTTAATTACAGTTTTAAAAGCCTCTAGAAACATGTGAATTAATTCCTCTCATCTATACATCAACTACCTTTAGGAGAATTAAAGTAAAAAATCAGAGATTAAAAAAGAAACCAAAGATGGTCATTCACACCACTTACACATTCTCATCTGCACTCTCGGCCACTATGCACAGCACAGCTGACCAAAAACAGCCACAGATAGAATTCACATGCCTAAAGCCTTGTCTTCCAGTATTTTGTTTTACACACTGGTGATGCTGCTACAGGTCTCCAAAATCACTGCAGACAAAGGAAGGCTCTCTGCCTGGGCAATGGCATGTTCAGAATGGATTTAAATTTCTTTTGTATCTTTGGCATTTATATATTAGCAAGTACTACAGGGCAATCACAGATAAGCGTTCTCATGTAAGTAAGCCACAAAAATATCAAATTCAGGTCAGGCACTAAAGAACAGTCCCAGACTAGAACATGAAATTGGGAATGGAACTGTGAGATGGGGTGAATGACTCAATTACTCAACTGGGGTGAGAGGTGCTTATAACTGCATGTGTGGTTTAAAATGTTTTCCTTCTGAAGAGTTCTGAAGTCTGATGTGAGGCAAATACCAAGGAAAACATGACTTTCACATGACTCCTCTGGTAAGGATCAGGTTCTGACTATAGAGGGTATGGTAAAACATAAAGTCAGACAATGCCCTATTTATGAATAAAATTTCAGGGAAAATGAGCAAGTTTATTATCTACTAATCAGTTCAGATGGTCTAATTCACAAAGCAGGATGGGGCAGACTCCCATTACCTTGCTGCCCTCAAGTACATAAGAAGGTCACAGTCATTAACTCCAGGCATCCAGACCAGTTCCTCATGTTGAGTCACAGAATCACCATCTGGAGAAGGAAATGGTTGCAAATCTGGAAGTTTGGCCTGTAAGACAGGGATGAAGAAGTCACCAAGGAGGTAGGCATGTACTAGAAAGAGCTGTCTCAGGAGCCAGTCTTTTGGGAATCGATGCAATGGGGTACTGAGTCTCTTTCTTTAGGCAGCAGAAAAATAACAGCAAAACCATGAGTCATTTAAATTGGCCTATAACACATGTCAGAAACATTTCACCATAGAAAATGTCACAAAACATTGCTTCATCTCTATTTAAGGAGCAGCAAACAGTGTCAAAGTACCTGTACCAATATGATCCAAAGAGTGAAATAAATAGATGCATGAATCAAATTAACAAAATGGAAAAATGTCATAGGAGGTAATAGCTACTTGATAAAAAAAGACACACATACATTTCCAGCATAATAAATTTATAAGGAAGAAATACAAATAACAAACACTTACCTAAGAATATTTGCTAAAAAAATTAAGTGAGCTACCCCCATTGGATTAGTTTTACTCTCAAGAGAGTACACAGCAAGATAAATCATGGTTAAAAAAAAAAGATGAACTATTAAAGGTAACACTAAAAACATACTCAATACTAACACTTGCATGATAGAAAGAGAGCAGTGGCTGCATGAGGGGAGGAAACTTCTTTGTGAGGGACAGGAAGGACCTTTCTGGGATAAAAGAAATGTATGTCTTGATATGAATCATCAGAGTGAACTGAACAGTGTACTTAAGAACAGTTCACTGTACATAAAGTATACTTCCAAGAAAGAAAAAAAGATATTTAACAACAGTGTTCAACAACCAAGACTCTAAGTCACCACATTAAATATCTCTGGCATCTTTTTATCCTCACTCTGCTGTGGTAAGTAGGTACCATGACTACCATAACCATTAGAGATCTATGAAAAGGTCAAACACCTACAAGATACCCAATGTTCTTATCTGAGCAAAAGATGAACATAGGCATATTAGCTTGATATTTTAAACTAAACTGGAGTTTAGAAGCACCAGTGTACACAGAACTCAGGCAAAAAGATCAAATAAATGAAGTATCAAGAGGATAAGCCAGCACTGTCCAACAGAAATGAAACGAGAGCCACATTTTTAAGAAAAATCTAGTAGTCACATTAAACAAAACACCACATCCTAAACTGTACTAGCCATGGTGCAAATGCTCAATAGCCGTGTACAGGCAGTGGCCCCCATATTGGACATGCAGGTTAAATTACATACTGAGGAGTGAAGTGCACCATGGGGAAACAAAGACAGAGGAGCTATCTACATGAGAACTAGTGTTTGTACATCCTCCAATTTTTTCCCCAAACTCCAGAAAATTTCACTATTATGTGAAAGCTCATGTTTTTAAATGTTGAATATACAAATTTTTAAAAGCAACTGTATGGCAAAATACAATATGAACAGATCATGTGTCTGTCAAGCCAGCACTCTGTAACCTCTACTTTATAGGCCATCTTTGATGTCTCTAAATGTATTACATAAATGAAGCACTGACTCTTCACAAACAAAGATTTTTTTTTTTAGGACAGTATCTTGCTGTGTAGCCTAGGCTGGTCTGAAACTCAAGATCCTCCTGCCTCAGTCTCCCAAGTGCTGGGATAAAAGACATGCACTAACATGGCCAATATAAGGATGCTCTTCTTTGATTTAGTATTAAAACATTTCATTGGGTTCCACAATTAATTATGGTTAATACATAGTAAAAATACTTGGATAAAATTAAACCATGATACTGGCATCATAAAGTCTTTGACATTAGTACTGAGCTTTACTACCCTAGCACCAAGTATAATCACGCAGTACAATAGTTGTTTAATGACTATTTGTTAAATTAATTAAAAAGTACTACTGCTGGGATGCAGGACCAATCGCTTGCCAAATGGACTAGAAATATAACTAGATAACATACAGAAAAAGAAATGAATTGGCTTTAATGATAAGAGATGGTGGCTAACCTTGCTGACAAGAGAAATATAGATTAATGGCAGATATCATTTCTCATTTATTACAATCAGTTCTCACAGATTACAACATACACTTGCTGTGTAGGCCAACCACTCAGCCTTCTGAGGATATGCCAAAAAGATACATTCTAGAAAAATCAAAAAGATACATTCTAGAGCTGTTCATTGCAGCTCTGCTTGTAATAGCAATACAAGTAACAGTCAGCAGGAACTGGCAGAATGACTGTTGCACCCACACACAGAGCTCTATGAGCGACAGAGGGGAAAGAAGCAGCAGCTCTATGTGCTGCCGTGGAGGAAACAAACACAAGGATATATTGTGGAAAGAAAACAGAAAGGTTGTGAAAAGTGTGTTTCTTATGGTATCATTTATCTAACAAAGGAAGAAAGAAAAAGAAAAAAAAAAAAAAAGAAGAAGTTTATTGGACTGGCAGAGTGGTTCCAGTCATAGAGCACCTGCTTAGCAAGCATGAGGCCTTGAGTTCAACCCCCAGTGCTGCCAAAAGAAATAATAATAATAAATAACAATCTCATAAAACCTCTACAGCAAATGAGAACAAACAAACAAAACCCCACATATATTGATACACTGAGTTGATTCCATTCTAGGAACTATTTCAAGAAACTCTAAACCATTAATTTGCCTATACAGCCCTAGCGGGATATACTCAAAGGATAAAACAAAATGTAACAGTGCACTGCTGCACTCAGAGGCAAAGCATGTGTTCTGCATGTGCAAAACCCTGTTGAATTCCCAGCACCAAAACCAAATAATAATTCATACTGTTTGTAGCAGTGTGAGTATTGATATCCTCAGCTTTAAAATAATGGGATAAAAGCAAATAAATTATGTTGCTGCTAATAAAACTGGGATTTAAGAAAAGATACAGATATAGATGAGCGAACAACAGGATTAATATAAATGCTAGATAAAGTTTTGAAATTAGATGTATCAGTATGAATTCACAATATATTTTATTTAAAAACAAAACAAAACACGATTCTTAGTTCTGTCCATGGAAACAGCCTAGAAAAAGCAACTCTCCCAACCAGTTTCTAAATGCACTCTCCACCAAAGCAAATGGGGGCTCCTTTGAGCAAAGTTTAATTCCAGATCTAGAGAAGGAAATGTACAAGGCGAGACATTAAAATCATGTTATACCAGATAAAAAGGACTTATCAAAGACCAGGAGGATCAAGTCAAAAGAATAAAGACATGAGAAGGATGTTCCTACTAACCCCAAAAACAGCATTCAATCATCAAAAAGAACTGATTAAAGATAACAAGTAATTTTAAATTCACTGGTGATCATTAGAAGATGCTATGGAACTCATTCGGTATTTTGAAAACTGGTAAGCAGAGGAAAAGAATCAAGCATTTTTCTTGCCTTTCCTCAGAACCAAGAACTTGACAATAGGGAAGTTTCATTTATTCAGCAAGTGAGTGAACAGATAGCAGAATTCGACTATTATCTTAAAATCTCTAATGAAACAATGGATCTAAGAAATAATCAATGGAGGCTAACTATCCTTAAAAAAGAAACATGTGCATTCTGGAAGAAATACTAACAGTGCCTATGAAGTATTCTTAAGGCAGGATATTAAACTAGAATAGGACTTAACAACTAATCAAGAAATGCAAAAAACAAAGGAAGAAATCTAATGGCACAAAAAGATGCAATCAGATCTCATGTGCGGGATATCCTATAAGGACAAAACACTCCCTTCCTTCAACACATAGACTAGGGAAGGGGAGAGTAGGCAAAAGCCCATGAATTATACACCAATTCCAGGGAATGATTCTTATTTAGATTCCAACTACAACTAAAAAGAAAAAGAGCGAGAAAGAGAGAGAGACGAGAGACGAGAGACTGACACAGACAAATAGGAAAATGTGGACAGAGTAGATTGTTGAATATTAAGAAACTGGGATTGAGTTTTGGCTCAAGTGGTAGAGTGTCTGCCTAGCAAGCACAAGGCCCTGAGTTCAATTCCCAGTCCCATGGAAAAACCCTGTGAATTTTATTTAGTGTCAAATATTATGAATGTGACTTTTAAAAGAGCCCGTTCCTTGGAATATCTACAACTAAAGTAATATAACTGTAATGCATTTTAAGAAATAATGGAGGAAGAGGTGAGGGAGAATCAAAAAAAGTATGACTAGGACTTGATATTTGTGAAAGCTGAGCAAAAATGACGAGGGCTTCATTGTTTACTTTTTCTCTGCTTTTATATATGTTAGCATCTTTTCTAGTAAAAACCTAACAATTTCTAAGAAGATAAATGTTGCTAAGTCATAGGAGTACTGTTACTGCTGGTGCTCCAAAGCCTTCCTTTTTGAAAATAAAGCATATGACATGTGTTTAAGACCTCACATAAAATAACTATCTGATTTTCAATGAAAGCATGTAAAACTCAAAGACTAGGAAATCTCCTTTTCTAAGAATTTAGGAATTTTTTGCTAGGAAGCATTTATTCTATGTAATAGGAAACAAACCTTTAAATGTCTGGTACAAAGGTCTCAGGACCTTGTAAACACAATGGGAGAGAAAGTGAGTAGGAATACACAGCACAGGCAAAAGCAGAGGAAGGGAATGCAACTGAGTGGTGCCAGGCAAGCACTGGATCCCTGACTAAAAACACAGATCAAGCAGGGTGTGGTGGCACATATGTGTAATCCTAACACTTGGGAGAAAGGCAAGAAGATCAGAAGTTCAAGGCCAGCCTGGGTTACATAGCAATACCCTGTTTCAAAAACAAAACAAAAACTACATCCAGAGCTAGGGTAAAGTGCCTAGCATGCAGAAGACCCTGGGTTCCAAGCTCAGAGGCATAAAGCAACAAAAACACAGTGCAGAGGCAGTAATCAGATATACCCCAAAATGCTATACTTGAGGGCTGGCAGAGTGGCTCAAGTGGTAAGAGTGCCTAGCAATCATGAAGTCCAGTGCCATCACCCCACGCAAAAAAAAAAAAACCTCAAATCTAGTAGATACCTAAAACCTCTATGCTCATTTAAGAATCTCCTGCCTCTACACATGACAGTCACAGCTGCTGACTCCCCAACATCCACTTCAGCTTAAACAACTCTGCGTGCCAATCATGCTACAGCACTTTCCTGGAGAAAAGGACACATGACCCAGTCCACAGCAACATGATGTGTGGCATTCTGGGAACACTCCAGGGAAACTGTCTTGACTCCTAAGGGGAAAAAGAAGGTTAATCCTTTCTTCCTCTCAATACTTGCTGTTTTATTTATTTGAAGAGTCATTATTATCCTTTGTGCTTCAGAAGAGGCAAAGGATGACAACAAATTATAATCACATTTTAATTTCCAGTACCTCAAAAACCAAACAAAAAACCCCAAATTATAATCACACCATAGAATATGCAATGAAGCCCAAATGCAGACACAAAGTGTGAGGGAAAGTGCATCTCAGAATCGACGGGAAAGCACAAGGAGGACCTGAAGGAAGCCCAGCAGAGCACAGGCCCATGAGAAGTGAATGACCATGCCGAGCCGGAGCCCTCCCAGGCAGAGGAGTCTTAGTAAACTGAAGAAAACACGGGAGCACAGTTCACCATACAAGCTTCCAACTAAAACGTACTGACCATCTTGACTCTTCTGAAGAAGAAACATCTGGAGACATCTTTAAAAATCTTTTTTTTTTCCTCTCTCTTCCTCTTTTTGGTTGTACGGAGAATGGAAGCTTGGACCTGACATGTGTGAGGTAAGTACTCTACTACTCAGCTACACTCCCAGCCTAAAACATCTTTTTAATCAAAGTATGTAGTAAATAAATGGTCACCAATTAGTGAATGTATAAACAAACTGATATTAAGATGCAATAAATTATTCATCCATAAAAAAGGAGATTTTGGCATGTTCTACAAGATAGAGGAACCTTAAACTGAGTGGAATAAATTAGTCACAAAGGACAGACACTGTAACAATTCCACTTACATGATACAGAGTAGTCAAAACACACAGATAGGAAGAACAACAGTGGTTTCAGCAACTTGGGCAAGAGGACAAACAAAGTTACTGCTTAGTGAGTACAGAGTTTGAGTTCTGTAAGTGTTAAAAAGTTCTGGAGATGAGTGGTGGTGATGGCACAACAATAATGTACTTAATGTCACTGAACTATACACTCAAAAATGCTTAAGATGGCAAATTTAATATTATGCACATTTTACCACAAAATTTTAAAACTATATGGTGATCTGGGGATAAAGCCAACTCTGAAGCCAGGTGTGGTGGTACACGCTTATAATCCAAGCACTCAGGAGGCTAAGGCAGAAGAAATGGAGTTCCAGGCTAGCCTAGATACCCTAGGGCTAGAGCTACTGTCTCAAACAACTACAACAAGCAAAATAAAGCTCTAACTTTGTATTTATATAAAATTTCCTATAAAATATTTAAAGAACATTTTAAAGATGCTGCTCAACAGAATAAAAATTCAGGAGAAAAATAAGAACTAAAAACCTATTAAAGAAGTTACTGAGATGTACTTTACCTGATGGCTAGGACCAACACGAATTTCCCCCTGAGTACTGTTCAGCCTCCTGTCATGAAAAGAACAGATTAAGTTAGCACAGTATAGTTCTGATACAAACATTCTCATAGTTTTCAAGGAAAATAATTTCCTTCAAGTAAATGAAGGACAACCTAAGAAGAATTAATTTCCCCATTATTTCTAATGCTGCTTCATACATGTATGCACCCCCCACCAAAAAAAAAAAAAAATCCCTAACACCTTTTCCTTCTAAAGCCCTGACTGCCACCATGGCCTCGATCCTGAGTACCTTCCTGTGCCATCATTCTTTCTGGCCTTAGAGACAATTTCAGTCAGACACATCTCCTTTTCGAAACACTGTGGGGCACCCTGCCATAGACCTCATTAAATACAAGTAAGATGACCCAGGGATCTTAAAGTGCGTTGGATCTCTTGGTCATTCACTCATTCATAGGTACTAGAATAAAGCAATCAACAAAATTTACATTCAAATCAGGTAAAAACAGACAATACATCAGATGACAAGTGCCAACAGGTGGTCAATATAAAATACTGTTATATATGACAGTTTTATAAAATAAAAATTTGGAAAAGAAAAAGGGAGGGAATGAGCCCAACAGATATGCCAGGTGACAGAGCCTAGCTTCATTTGCTCTGTGTCATTCTTACAAGACTCTACTTCCCTTTCTCCAAATCCAAAAGTCAGGTGGTACTGAGATTTGAACTCAGGACCTCATGCTTGCTAGGTAAGTGCTCCATCACTTCAGTCACTCCACTAACCCTTTTTAGTGTTGGATATTTTCAAGATAGGGTCTCTCGAACTAGTTGCTATGGTTGGCCTCAAAGTTCGATTCTCCTGATTTCTGCCTCCTGATTAGCTAGCATTACAGGCATGAGATACTGGTGCCTGGCTCTTCTAAGTTTATATCAAGAAACTACTAACAAGTAGGTTACAAAACACAAAATAAAACAACCTCCTTAACAATTTATTTAAAAATCTGCCTTCACAACAAAAGTATTTTTAAACCATATGCATCTTTTAAAAACCAGGGTTTCATACCAAATGATAAACTTATTTTGAAGTAGGATTAGAATCTAAGGTGCAAACAATGGCATTAGCCTACAACATCTAGGAATTACAGGAAATAGGATAAACATTAGAAAAAAAATTTTTTTTTCTTTTGAAGGAACTGAGGTTTGAACTCAGGTCCATTTGGTCTGGTTCTTTTGGACATGTGGTCTTGTGAACTATTTGCCCAGGCTGGCCTCCCACGTAGTTAGGATTACAGGTGTGAACCACCACACTGGGACAACAAAACACAATTTCTTAAAGAACTGTGTACAATGTGAATCTAAAAGCGTGTCAGTAATCTTTTGGATTTGAACATAATATCCATGATCTGCTGAGCCCTTTGAATGGATCTTCTACTCAGATACAATTTTGTAAATGTGATGTATGGGTTAAATGGAAAATACTGGTTCACTAAGTTTTGTAGATCTTCCAAATATTAATAGAGTATTTTTGGGGGGGAATGGGACTGGGATGGGGTTGAACTCAGGGCTTCATGCTTCCTAGCAGGCACTCTATTGATTGAGCACATTTTGCTCTGGCTATTTTTAGAGATGGGGTCTAGCAAAGTGTTTGTATGAGCTAGTCTTGAACCATGATTCTTCTGATCTCAGCCTCCCAAATAGATAGGCTTATAGGTGTGAGCCACCAGTGCCTGGCATGATACAGTGTTTTTAAAACCAAATCACATTAATATCAGCATCCATCTCATACAAAAGCCTTTCAAGTATAGAGAAGTTGTCATATTCACAATGGTAGGTGCAAATGTGTGTATGTGTGTGTCGGGGGGGGGTTATGCCTGGGAAGTGCTCTACCACTTGAGCCATGGCCCCCATCCCAAGTTCTTTTGCTTTTAGTTTTTCTGATATGATCTCGTGCTAACTTTGCCCAGGCAGGTCTCCAACGGCAGTCCTCCTACCTCAGCCTCTGAAGCAGCTGCGACCATAGAAGTGCACCAGCACACTGGGCATTGGGTACATGTTTTGTAAAATTCCAATTTTTACCTCAAAGTCCAAATTTTAGTACTAACAGCTCTTTTCCTTAAAATGTCAGACTCACTCCATTCATTTTCAAGAAAATGTTACCAAATCCCACAGTTGGGCTGTCAGTTGTTCTTTCAAACAGGACCAGAAGCATGGCTCAAGTGGTAGAGTGCCAGCCTAGCAAGCACAAAGCTCTGACTTCAACCACAGCACCACCAAAAGTAAAATTCAGCACAAAACAAACCAACAAAACCAGAAATGGTGTTCCAAGAATATGAGGACTAGCTCAGCTTCTCAGCAACAATCACAAAGGGTGTCTTCTGAAGACAACCATCTTCTTCTGGTCTGTAGGACAAGACTTTCACATCCTTCCCATTTCCTTGTATGAAGTATTAAAAAGACAAGACGTCAAGAATTGGGATTTCGCCCACCCAGCACCAAAATTTTAAAAAATAAAAAAAAAGAATAAGAAAAAAAAAAAAGGAACAAAAAAATTTTTAAAAAGTGAGGCACACAAAAAACCATTCTTTGAGAAGCAATGATCGTGACATATTCTGAACTTCAGAAAAAGCTGGAATTCAAAAGGTTCCCAATCTAGATGATGCCAGATTTATCCTTTGATTATGAACAATACTGGTTAATATCTAAGCATTTACTATCTGTCCCAGGTGCTCTTACAGTATTATCTTATTTCTAGGTATTAATTTAATACATGGTTTGACATTTACAACAGCATTAGTATTTATAAGTTACAGAAATTCAGATCTCATTCTAGTCTGTGTTCAAAACTACTTAGTTACTACTGGAGGTTTCTACTTGGATATATAATGCTGCATAATTAACACAGTAGAGCTGGGCAAAACCAGCAGGGCTAGTTATCAATAAGAAGAAAGATTCAGAACAAGGACAGCATAAATCCTAGCCAAGATACATGAAGGATACTACTATATAAAATAAAAGACCAAAGATAAGTCATTTCCAGGATAATGCAAGATATGCAGTGAACATACATCTTCATCCTTTTCTCAGACTTTTCACATTCACTATCCTAAATCCAGGTATTTAATAGTTATATGACAAACACAGGAAAAAGTAATACTAGGTATCACTCATTAGGTACTTCCTTTACCAGGTATACATTACTTCCTTATTCCTGTGACAACCCTAATGAGGTAGAATCTCCACTTTGTAAGACAGTAATAATAATACTAACTGCAACAAACATAAAGCAAATAACTAATATACTGACTGTGTACCATGTACTGCAAGCTCAGCAATTTTCTTGTATTTTCTTATCTAATCAAGGATGACCCTATAAGACAGGTGCTATTATAACCTCTATCTATACAGATGAGGAAAATGAAGCTTAGAGGAATTGTCACCATCCTGTTTTCAAAACAGCTGAGGTTTAGCTTTCATTATTCTACAAATCATCACTTTGGAATGTGGGAAAAAAAAAAAAGCCCCCCAAACCAAATTACAACAATGATAAGTCATTGTGTTTATTTCTTGAATATTAAAAAAGAAAAACCCAGAAAGAAATTCATTGTATATGAAATCTGATACAAAAGAAACCAGTTTAACAAAGCAGTATCCATAGCAACTACAACTTAATATTTCAGTCCTCTTCAGCTGCAGTGGATTAAATAAAATGACAAGATGTTCCCTTTGAAAAGTAACCTGTTACCATGGAAACGTTTTAGTCTAAGAAGTAAACAGGGAATGGCCAGAAAGGCGCAAGGAGCCTTCAACTGAATATCAAAAAGGAAAAAGCATCTTTGCAGAGATGAGAAGGCCAATGGCCAACTGCAGAGATGGTTTCTTGAGAAGCACACGTCAACTGAACGCTTGCCCAAGAACATGACATGGTCAGTCACTCTTTGGCCCTGAAGAGAAGAAGGGTGTGGAAGCACAGTCTGTAGATACTTACTCAAGACGACCAAATATGACTGCATGATCATGAAGACTGCTTGAGAAAAGGACTTAAGTCTAGGGGGAAAAGAAGATTTGTACAGACAGACTGCCTTAAACACCAAGAGAAAGAACTGGTAAAATCGAGACCTTTTACAGGGAGTCAACATGATTTCCCATCCCAACTCAAACCTACTTCCTACCCTTAAGCCTAGGGACATATATAACAGCAGTGTGATCTACGGCCCATTCCCAAGGCACTAAGACTATAGTCTTTCTCTCTTGAGAAAGTCAAATTCTCAAGTCAGACTTTGTTCTCTGGCTGGTATCACATGTAAGTGAGATCACTGAGAAATTCTCCCTGTTCTAATCCTTCAGATAGTAAATATCAGACACCAGAGAATTCTTATTGTTACCATAGGGTGTTAAGTTGAGAAGGACATGACATGGACAGAAAGAAGACTCTAGAAACTCTGTATATAGATAGACTTTTTAGGAAGGGACCAGAGAAAGTCAGTAGATCCTGAAGAAAATACAACAAATTTTAAAACAAAAATGCAATTTATCAGAATCACGTCTTTTTAGATGGATTGTGGAGCAGGGGTGAAAATGAGTATGGTAAGAAGAAAGACTAGGATATATGCTGTGTTTCTCACATTTCTCCAGCATGAACATGTACTTCCAAAGTAGTCATGAACAAGCCTCAAATGGAAATATTCCATAATATATTCCTATTCATTCTGGTATCAAGAAAAACTTCTGTTAACTTGAATAAAGTCACCATGTTTTATAAATCCCACTAGGATATTCCATGACACAGATCTCACATTACTGGTGAGAGATGTCATATAGACTTGAGTCTAGATGCTCAGGGGCAAGGAAAGAGCAATCTTTAGAGCCCAGTGAACTAACTGGATTAAAACTTCAGTAGCAAGGTTTATTGGCTCCAAATATGATCTTCAGAACACAATTCAATCTTCTGAGTCCTCATCTATAAGATGGCATTCATATGGCTACTCTGTGAAGTTGCTGTACAAAATAAAATGTCATCTATGGAATGAACTAGGCACCGTGCCTACTGTATAG